GTCTCCCTCTCTCCCTGCCTCCTTATTCCCATTCCTCTCTCTCCCTTTCCTTGTCTGTCTCCCTCTATCTCTACCCCTTCCCTTCTTCATCCATCTCACCTCCCTCCTTCCCTCCTTAATCCTTCTCCCTCTCTGTCCCCACTTCCCACCCCACCCCACCAGCTCTGCAGCATCCAGTCTCCCCTCCTACGGCCTCCGCATCACGGCGTTCCCAGAAACCTCTTGGGCGTGGCTGCAGAAGGAGGTGCGTTCCCGGAGGAGACGAGAGACGTGAGCATCTGTCTGCAACTCCAACTCCAACAGCAGATGGAGGTCTCAAGGACGCTCCTTCTCGCTCTCAGTGACACCTTGAAATTGGCTGGTAGGGGATGAGTTGGGTCCTGTGCTTGATTAGGTTTGGGACCTGTTTGCTTTTTTCTCTTTCTGTCTGTCTGTTTCTGTGTCTCTCTGTCTTTCTTGACTGGCCCTCTCTCTCTCTCTCTCTCTCTCTCTCTCTCTCTCTCTCTCTCTCTCTCTCTCTCTCTCTCTCTCTCTCTCTCTCTCATTACTGTTTTTTCCCTTTATGATTCAGTTTGTTTCTTTTTTCATTTTGTTTCGTCAAAAGGAAGAGATACATTGATAAACAGATAGACTTGGCGAGTTTGAGAGAGAGAGAGAGAGAGAGAGAGAGAGAGAGAGAGAGAGAGAGAGAGAGAGAGAGAGAGAGAGAGAGAGAGAGGAGAAGAGAGAAGAGAGAAAGATTGACAGAGACAGAACGACATAATCAAACATCTACGAGCTGACATCTACAACGTTCTCGCAGTTCGAAGAGGGACACGTACGCCCTTGAAATCGGGAAGAAATCCGTCCTGGCCGGGGGGAAATCGGCGCCTGGCAGTGGGTGTCCCTGTGTCTTCTTGGGAGAGAAAAAGGCACTGGTCGTCGATGGACCATTTGGGACGTAGAAATGCCTGATGTTATTGATCTAACGGTGTGTAACGTCTGTTTAAAAACGTTTAACAAGGAATGGTAGTCGTGGGTGCATTTCTCTTTGTTGTTATATTAGGGTTAGGATTTATGTGTGTATGCACACACACACACACACACACACACACACCACACACATACACACACACACACACACCACACACACAACACACACAACACAAACACAAACAACACAAACACCACCACACACACACACACACACACACACACACACACACCACACACACACACACACAACACACCACACACACACACACACACACACAAATACACGCCACGTGTGTGTATGTGTATGTGTATATGATATGTATGTATGTCATATATAACATATATACATCAATAGATAGATAGAGATGTAAACAAATACTCTTTTCCTCGTATATGAAAGTGCACTGCAGCTAAAATCGATTTTTTTTTACTTTTTTTGATAATGTACGTATAAGAGTCACCCCTTCAATGAATAGTGTGAACAAACGTTAGCCCTCCCTTGATACTGCACAAAGCACAAAGAGCCTAGCTTACCCACGTTAAAGATATAATAATAATAACCACAAATTAATAATCTTTCCGTATACCAGATCCCATATAACTTGACTGTGGAATACCAAATACCTCCAGGGGAGCTGGTTTCGGTTCTCCCCTTCGGCGGCAGCGTGACTCTCCCTCGAGTGTTCAGGCGAAGACTACAAAAGAAGAGGTGCGTTTAGTTTTTTCTTCTCGCTAATTGGTTAATCGTTCTCCGTACTACATTTGCTTATTTCTCTTCAATATACGTATTATTTCTGATCATCTTTCTGCCTATCTCAGAGAGACAGATTGGGCATGTGCAAGTACAAAGACGGCCACGCGCACATTCGCGTACGTATACACATACATACGGATATATATACATACCTGTATTATGCGCATACATATAAATAAATGTACATGAATATATACATATGAATAAATGCAGTTTGACTTAAGAAAGACACAATGTAATTGAAAAAAATGCGATATCAATATCTACCTAAGTCTGTGCTGCAATAAAGACCATTTCTATGAACGGAGTAATAAGAACTGGCAAAACAATACCGTAGACATTTTCATGGCCATTTCCTCTTCATAAACAGGAAATGCTCGATTAACTACATAAAAGTAATAATGTTCATATCCAATGAATAAATGGGGATGAAATGCAAAACATGAGGAGAAAAGTCCTTATAGCCTCTCTAAAACCTTTAGCAAACCCTTTTTAATAACAGAACTTGTCAAATCTTTGGTCGACTGGAAACTATATGCTTTCGAAAAAACAAAGAAAAAAAGCGAGATGTGGTAAAAGAAGAAACCTGCACAAATATGAAAATGTTGGTTTCGTGTATTTTGGCATTATGAATTATCTCGCACTGTTATACTTTCAGGATGAATGAATTATATATATCATTCTTCAGAATCGGTGATGCGCATAAAAAAGCCTTGGAAATACAAACACACGCCATTACACACACACACACAACACACACACACACACACA